ACCACCACCACCACCACGTCTTCAAGCACTCCCCCAACCAATGGGGCGACGTAGGATGTCCCATTACCTTCCACCATCATCAACAACACTCCCACCTCCAGTGATTTGGACTCTGTTCCTACCTATCCCCATTGAGGTCGAACATTCACCTCACACATCGCCCTGGTCGGTCAATTGCGAATCCATCTCACAGAGACCGGCAAACCAGTGCCTGGAGCACCAAAATTTATCCGCCGCATTCACTGTCCCCGAGCATTCACTCACCCTGTGGGTTTATAAGGTCACATGCGTATTCACGAAAACCTGAGGAAGACAACTGCGGGCTACATCTCACACCCCCCACCAGAATCGGCATCAAATAACAATATCGCCACCGCAAGCACTCGAGTGCCGCACCTCATGCAAGTGGGAAGTGTATGTACGTCTCGGCTCCGTCTCCATGCTGCTCCTCTGTTGCATGTGTGATCCGAGTCAGTGAAAATCACGGTGCGCCAAGCGCTGTGGTTGAGAAGGCTGTCAACCGTTGCTTTCGTAGTATAGCGGTTCTCCGGTACCTGATTCTCTTGCGCTCTCATTGAGGATACAGATCTTGCGCATGGCGGCCCAGTCATCCTCCTCCCTCTAACCTATCGTGGTGTTGTTAGTTAAAATCCTAGTCAATTCTGGTGTGGACCAGCGAGTGTGGAGTGGAACGCCAAGACGCGGGTTTGTTGAAAGTAATGTGGTCGACAAGACAAAGATTCTCAATCATAAGTCAGACAAGACGGAGTGAGTCGGACAACCTTTACTGTTTTGGAAGTGCGTACACAAAGGCTCTGTGGGGGGCAGTAGTCGCGAGCGCGCCCTCCAGGCCTGTTGTGTTCTCTGTGTCCACCGACGAGGTGCTCGGACCCAGCTCGTGTGTGCGCCCTTCGTTGGCTCCGCGTCCACCAGCCAATCAGAGGGGGCACAGCGTTGATTGGCCTGGAACACTCGCGAAGCGAGTGACAAGCATCGCGCATCCCAGCAGCGTATCGACCAGGAGTGTGAGGCGGACAGGTAGGCAGCTTGGCAAAGGCGGAGGGCAAGGAGACGCAACTGCCACAGGTTCGGCCGCACCAACCACCTGCGTCCTCCTCCGTCTCCGGTCTCCTTGACTTTACAGCGGTCTTAGGCAGGGGATGATGGGAGAGTGCGATAGGCGCTTCGCAAGGTCATACTCACTAAATCTACACTAAAATAAATCTCGCGCAAGTCAGCGTGCATGCCCCACCTAGCTGTGGAGCATACGTATGGTAGATTCAGCGTTCAATCCCGCTTTCTGATCTGGGGTACTGTTGAGTAATGCATTCTCTATACCCAGAATTTGCCCTTAAAACGGCCAGCGTTGTAGATACGATGGACGAAAACGGGGGTTAAACGGATGTCCGATAGGCGTTAAAGGGGACTCGTTCCGTAAAAACGATCGGTTAGCACCCCTCTACCTTTGTATATCCCCGATCGTAACCGACAGGACAACGATCCCGTGGCTCGGTGTTTAGAGCCGCTGGACTTCTAATAAACCGGTCGTCGCGGGATCGAGCCCTAGGAATCGCACACCTCGGACTTGGGTTTGACTGGCTGACGAAGTCTAATAAGCCAGAAATGGCCATTCCAGTCTCCCTCGTCTTTGTCGATAATGTCATTATTCCTGCTCATACCGCAGAAAGCGAGACGCAGAAACGGAAACTTGAACTGTCCCCGTCATAGATACGATGTTTTATGCAAACCCACCTACTCTTGCGTCATATGTAAACTTATATTCCAGTCAAACTGAGTGGAGCCATTTATAATGCAAAATTCGAATGAAACATTTAAAATAAAGCATACTCCACCATCTCCCTCGCCCTGTTGTGGGCCACACATGAGAAGCCGTTGGCAGTGACGATCGAACAGGTTGATGGGTTATCGTGGAGGGAAATGTTTTTTTTAGAATAACTGGACTCCTCTGATTTTCAAGTGTCACAAACTGCCCCGGTCGCAACCTTTGAACGATGCGTTCTTTTACATTTACTTGGTGTTAATGGTGAGGTGGATCTCAGCCAGTTTTCCTACAGAGTTGTCGCGGTGGAGGGAGAAGGATCAAATTTCTCGGTTTCTTCGTATTCTCCTCTTTCACAAATATCGAGTCAGGAGGGTCAGAACAAGGCTATCTACGGCAGAAGAATCTTGTAAGATCCTCGCTCAACAAGATAAGATTAAATTCCACCAAAGAAGTAATCGGGTCTGTACACTCTCTCACCTCAGTAAAACTTATTCAACCTGATCTGTCTTTCCTGACCTGTGAGTTGGAAGTCTTCGAATTGTTCAGCATTGCAAACTCTCGCGTCCGTTCTCGCTTTCTACACTTCAGCTCTTTATTCAAAATTTTTTGGGTATCAAGGGCGCCTGTTTTGTGTATAGAGGTGTAGGATTTGGAGGAGGAGGAGGAGGAGGAGGAGGAGGAGAAGGAGGAGGGGGGGGGAGCGGAGGAACAGGAGGGGGGGAGAGGAGTAGGAGGATGTAGTGACCAATAACACGCACTGTAAAATCCTCTGTTTGAGTGAGAATTTTTAGATAGCACGAAAGGTCGGCTCCACGCAAGCTCGACAGAAAGTTACCGTGTTCACTGTCCGCGGGTAACAGGTGGCGCCCCTCATTTGCCGCTCTCGGTCACTAGAGCGCAGGTAAGAATGGGAGGTCAGGGGGAATAATCAAGTCGGCTTCATTTGCGACTCATATGTCAATCGTGCGATCTGCGTTGCGCGCGGAGGACCATCCTGTACTGAGGCAAGTTTTTATCGCTTTTGCAGGTGGAAATTTCAGTTCATCATGGATTATGATGAGCTGCATTGCCAAAAGACCCTCAGATGTTCAATGCTAAGGGTAGGCTGTAGTGCTTGCTGCTGGGCTGGATAAAGTTTGTAGCGACTACTCTGGCTGAAATAATCGCCTCCCCCTAAGACTACCGGTAATACTGGCCGACTTAGGACGCGTTATTTAATCCCCGTCGAACCACTTGCAATCATGACACAAAAAATCATGTGTTCTGACGTCATACCGCTACCCACTGTTTTCGTCACTCGCAACCACCTCCAAGTAGGAGTAGAAATAGGCTGCATTAGATTCTGGCATTCTGTCGACAACTTCATTTTCCCTTAATGTCCTAGTTTGTTATACAAAAAGATATATTTATGTACCTAAATGGGCGATAAGATCAACCTCACTACTGACGGTGAGGTTTGGCGAAATGCCTGGAGTGGCCTGAAGGTCTTCGTCTACTTGTTGACTTATCACAGCTCGGTTAAGGTATGGCGTGAATCAAAGCTGATCCCTTTTTGGCTTACCGAAATAAGTACCATTCTGGGGGGAGGGATGGCTATAAGTCAGTCCAATCTTTTTTAGGTGATTCGGAGACCCGAGTTCCGTTCGATCTTTGCCACCCCTCCGTCAGCAAAGCCCACTAG